TATAAATCATCTATTAAACTTCCCAGTGAACCTGATTCACCAAGAATTATTAAAAAATTATAATCATATTAGTTTACTTAGAGAAGTGTCAGTTAAGGAAATATTGAAAAACCAAAAAAATAAGTATGGACTCCATGGCCATAAAATTTTGAAGGTTGGCATGATCCTCAAACAGATGAAGATTTACTACTTTAAGATTTATAATTTTTCTGATATGAATTTTATTTTGACTAAAAAAAATAATAATAATAGATTCTCTACAATAAATTGAAGTTAAAGCTATTTTTCATATTTTTATGAAGATTTCATATTATTTATTCATTATATCATGCAACATGCTTCTCTTTCTTTAGGTGGTTTGATTTCTTCTTTATTTCTCTCACTTTTTGGTTTAATAGGTTCATCTTTAAAATCTTATTTTAATCCGATTCCCTTTGCAGTAACATATTACAATTTAGGATTAATTTTAAATGGACACAAAAGTTATTCCATCAAAGTCAATCTTTGCTTAAGTTTCTCTTAGAATTTCTTGTAATATTAAAATAAAATGGTTACTTCGATTAATCCACTCTTGTATTCCTTCTGTTATTTAATGATATTGATTCTATCTTCAAATGAGAGTCTGACATCAAATCTTAGATTAACAGTTACATTATCTATGTAGGGAGCATCCAAACTTTAATCTTAGTAATTTACTATCAAATAGCATTAAGGTATAGTTGGAAGAGCAAAATGTCTTGGCCTAATTTATTAATAGATGTCAAGAACAGGTATTTTAATTTATGCTAATTCTTTAAAATCTTCACCTAATGTTCTTGCATCTCCTAAATTTTTATCTAATCTCTTCCCCATTACAACAAGTGTTATAGAATCAATAGTATTGTCCAAAGAAATACAAGTAGATCTATTTGAATTCTCTGGATAAAGAGGTTGATAATTTTGATGAATAGTTCCAACTTTATATTTCAGTTTATAAAACTAAGAAATGAATATTTGTTCAATACTTTTTACATTTCGCTAATTTAATTGACTTGATCCACGAAGGAAACGACTAAAGCATTTTCTTAATTATATTCAGTCTAATCTAATTGATTTATTGATTTTTAATACTTGCTTCAATGACTTTTGAAAATTTATCAAAATTAGTAAGTTCATCCTTGAAATAATCAATATTTTTTTGAAAATCAAGGATTTTAAGATGTATCATTTTTGCTTAATCCAATAATTTCTAAACAAAAGTATCAATGGTTGCTTCTGATGCAAACTAATTAAATGAACAATCCTACATTCTCATCATAAACTTAATCTTATCCAATAGTATCACTTATCACCTTCCATAGTATATGTTCTTGGTCTGAATTGATTTCTGGAAAAAACCAAAGTTAATCATCAAATGCCGAATCAGCTTTGTAGCCTTTCTGATCAAAAAACTAAAGAATTTCTTCTTTTTTGGATTGTATAATGTCCTCTGACTGTTTAATGAAGGATGCATTCAATTAATCTGCCATTTTAATAAAATTATTATCGTTTTCATTTATACATAACAAGTTTTAGTTATCTTATAAAATCACTTTTGTTTCTTACACTTTTCACAGACATAAGCAAAATGTTAGATCTGTTTAATTCCCAAGCATTACTAATGAAACCATTTATAACAAATATCACATTAGATATATTGTTAATCGGGATTCATAGGTAATTTACACAAACAATGTTTTGACCATTTCTAAATAGGCGGGATTATTTATTTATTCCTATAAAATGATCTAAATAAATATTTCTAAATGATTACCTACAAAAAAAAGTAAAATCATTGATAATATTCTTCATATCTAAATCTTTAAAGTCTAGTACTTCTGCTAAAGATATGATCGTATCTGGTTATATAAAATCATAATGGTCAGATAAGAAAAGTTCTTTCTCTCCTATGCAGTTTAAGTATTTTTATATAATCTTTTTTAAGTTGTTCTTACTATAATACCATTAAATTTTAATGATAGGAGTGTATTATTAAAATCTTATTACACCAATTATTTCAATCACTTTAGCAACACAATGACCATCTTCCTTTGTATATATAACTATATCAGAGTTTTATTTTATATTGAGATTGTTGATTTTTATAGTCTTGAACACCTTGTGAGAGTTTTCCAAATTTTTTGCATGATAAAAAAGAGCAGAAAGCGATTGGCAATGTCTTACCTATCCCACTAAATCATTAGTTTTGTTAATTTTTTTTAGTGCTTCCTAATTTTAATCATACTCTAATTTAATTGAGTGAAAAATTTCATTAAGTTTCTTTTCAGTCTCTTCATCCATATTTGCCTCCCTCATTAAAGAATTAAAATCCTATTAAAATTAATATACACACAATTACTATTTTCATTTTTTATCCAACACCGCTATCATATACGACTCCTTTTGCTATTTTAATCGATACTTCAAGAGTTATGTTCCAATATTATTAATATAATGTTTATTTGTATGTAATTTAATAACATACTAAAAATTACAATTTCATTTCTTCTAATCTCTAACTGGCAAGAAATATGGATGATCTAAAGCTTCTTTAGGAGTTATCCTTAATGCCTACTTATAATATATTTATAGTACATGATCATACACTAACATTCTTGATAATATATCAATAGCTTCTTCTGAACACAAATGTTTATTCTCTTGATTGATAAACTTTGACCATTCTTTTTTTGGATAACTAAAACTTTTTATTTAATTCTTACTTCCCTAATTTATTATCGAAAATTGAATCTAATTTCAATTTGTACTTTTTAACATAAGCTAATAAATCTTCTGTTCCTAATACTTTTGCTATGACGATCAATTAATCATAATTATCATTACCCTGAAAGAATGGCTCTTTTTTGAAAATCTACAAACATAATTTCATATAATATAAACCATTGATGCCAGCATTGCTCCACTACTCCAAATATCCAATGAATAATCGTAATAAAGATTATCAACCAATAATTCTGGACCTTTAAAATATCTCGATGCCACTCGAACATTATAATCTTAACCCAAATGATAATATTCTGCTAAACCAAAATCTAATAATTTCAATAACTTTTTTTATGGATTCACTATAATATTTTAAGGCTTCACATCTCGATGCATAATTCCTCTTGAATGACAAAAGTCTAATGCTTTCATTAATTCATATATATAAAATCGAATCTCTATGTCTGTTAGCTTTGGAAAAATGCTTCTGAAATCAACATGATCTATGTAATCAAAAACTAAACAAGGTGTTTTTGATGCTGGATCTCTTACAATATCACTCAATTCTATTATATTAGGATGGCCTTTTAATGAAAGAAGAATTTTTGTCTCTCTTTTTATTTTTCTTTTCTTTACTGGCTTCAACACTTTTATTACCACTCTCTAATTTTACGGATATCTAATCCCCTCATAAACATCAGAATATTTCCCTCTTCCAATTTTTCTGGCTATCTCATATTTATCATTATCCTAAAATTAAAAATATTCCTACACCCCATTCATTCTCAAAATTATCATAATCCCAATACTCTTTTGGCTGATTCTTATTGAAGTCTGCATAAAATTTTGGTTTCGCTTACACTATTTAATTCATATACAAATATGTTATAAAAAATTTTGAAATAAATTTTCAGGCAAGATTATTTTTAACTAAGGACTAAAATTTATTTTAATTGTGATAGCTCCTTTATTTATCAAAATTAATTCATTTAACACTATAAAATTTTCTATAATTCATAAACATTAGCCTATTTATTTTTATTTTTATAATTTATAATCATATTGATAATAAGTATCACATTATCTCATCAAATTGCATCCATTATTTTACAAAATTTAATAACTTCTATTTTCATTTATTTAATTAAAATTACTTTATTAAAACTAATTCAACGTAATTTTACCCATAAATATGATTAAAAGTTTATGATAAAATATATAAACCTATTTTTGTTTACAATTCAGAAATTCTAGATAATTTTATTAATAATTTAATTAAATGATCAATGAAACCTTAATAAATGAAGGACCTCAAAATCTTTATGATTATTTTCCAACAAGTATCTCATGTCCTCAAGCTGAAATAAAAGAAGATGAATCACCTGTTTAATAACATTATATCAGTTCATTTTGCTTTTAACTTAGAAAGTACTAAAAATAGAAATTTAATACTTAGAAAAATCAAACGAAAAAAGAATCGCCCAAGCCTTTTGAAAATAGAAGATAGTGGGAGAAATGTAAAGTTATATTCGTGTTCACTTTTATCTAATAATACAGAAAAACCTGACAACGATACTTAATGAAGAAATATAAGTAAGATTTGTAATTATTATTATTTGATTTTATAAACTTTATATAAGTGAAGTTTAGAGTTAATCTTATAAATGATTCTTTTAAATTAATAATACATTATTTATAAGTAGAAGGAATAACTTTTATAAGATCCTCCAAAATTTTGAAAAAATCAACGATAGAAATAGACTAAAGAATATTAATCTTAAATTTAAATAATAATAACTCAAAAAAAATCTTCTCTATAGTTTTCGGGAAAAAATTATTTTAATTTAAACTAAAAAATTTCATATTATTAAATAATAAAGAACACAAAATATTGTTAACAATTTGATATCAAGCTATTAAAAGACCGTTTAAGAATAAGAAGGAAAGGTTTAAATTAATTTAATAATCAATTTTGATACCTTGAGAAAATAAAAAATGAAATATTGAGAGAGCATATACATTGTATTTGAGAATTCATTATTTTATGAAAATATAAAATAATTATTGTTTTTTATCGTTTTTATTTTATAAATAATATATGAGTTCACTCAGTATTTATGAAGACGAAGAGATTGATCATTATAATGAGTATTTGATGAGCAAGAGAAAAGAAGTTACAGAAATAAAGAATTATAAATTCAATGGAAAATTTAACTCAAAGCCAACTAAAGCATTCAAAATTAAAAATAAGAAAATTCATTATTTAACATAATCACAAATATTAGCTTTAGTAGTTTTAACATTTGCAGTTGAGTATGGTATTTATAAACGTATAGAGAGGGTTCGCAATTGAGATGGTTTTCATCTCTCCATTATTTTTGAAATTGGATACTCCAGAACTTTTAGACTCTTCAATGTAATAAATTACAACAATATTCCAGTTGGTTATTTCCTCCTATAATTAATTTATTACTCTATCCTTTTATTCGATACTACAGCGAAAGTAAATCACATCAATTAAAAAATGCTATGCTCTATTTCATAATTATTTCAATTATGGGAATAGGTCTATTAGCTGATACAAAGTAATTTTAAATATTATATAGATCATTATATGTGGATTCTATAAATAAAAAAACATCAGTTCTAATCATTTCAATAGTAAGCTTCACAGTAATGGATGTTGGTCTAGAAATGCTTGGAGTATGATTATTATATATATAATTAGTTTGCTTGTTCAGCGTTATTAGAAGATTATGTAAATCCAAAACAATAGTAAAAAGTGTAGCAGTACCGAACCTTTGTAGATTCATTTGGTAAATTTACAGGATTCTTAGTTTCGAGTGTTTTAGCTTTCAATTTTATTTACTTAAACTTTGATAATTTTATAGAGAATTTATCATTTGCATATTTAGTTGGATTGATAATGATATTGATTGGATTTGGAATGGTTCTCATATCTTTCCCAAGAAAAGGACTAGATTTAATCTAATCTAATCACAAGATGAGGTTTAGTATCAATTCATTTTTGCCTGGAATAACATTTATTTTGTAGTTTTTTATTTATAATGTTAGTTAATTGCCCTAAAATATGAAAATATTTTTGTTATCCCATTTTTTTACTTGTGGTTCTTAATTGTTTGTATCTGTCTATGCTACTTTATGGTCAGGAATTACGATGTTGGAGGAGGGTCCTTAATAGTACAATGAAGCAATAAGAAATATTGTATTTGATATAGGAATTAGCTGGGGTATTGTTTAAATATTATACAGAGGGGCTTTGGCATTGTGTATGAGTGCTATACTTCACTTATTAACTACTTTATTCTTAAAATAATTGGGAAACCATTATACTAGCAAAATTTATCAGATTGTAAATGCTTTGGCTGGCGCTTCATTGTTATATACTTGGTCAGTTAATGAATTTTATTCCATTTTTATTACACTTCCATTTTGGGGAGTCTAAACTGCTGTTTTGAGTGAATTACCATATAAATTAGCAAATCAATTAGAGGATGATGTATTAATTCATAACTCCAACTTATTAGCAAGTTAGGGATACAATTAAAGGTCTCCTACCTTAAATGCTTAATTTAACAACCTTTTTTTCTTAAGCATTTATGTTTTTTATTATCCCACTTGGGTTTTTGCTATTCTCTAGTGTTGATGACATTTCAGTAAGCATGTTCATGAGTGGGATTTTCAGTTTAATAGGATCATTTTTAGTTTGCTTTTTATGAATAATATTATAAATTTATATAAATTCAATTGAACAAAATAATCATTTAAATAATTTGAATGACAAAAATCTTAACAAAATAGCTTATCATTTAGAAAGCAAAAACAGATGTTATGGAAAATATTAAGTCCATTAACTTATGGGGAAATGATTTAGAAGAAATATCTTTTATTAAAGAAATGATTAATTTAGAGTTTGCTTAATTAGCTTCTAATAAAATTAAAACCATTAAAGATGTAGTAAAATGCTTACATCTTAAAGATTTAAATTTAAGAAACAATCTTATATCAAATTTTGAGGAATTATAATTATTAAAATTTCTACCAAATTTGAAATCATTAACACTTTTAGATAATCCTATAACTTAACATCCAAAATATAGATAGAAAATTTTAAAGAATGCAGTTTAATTAGAAAAATTAGATGATATCATTATTTCTAAACAAGAAAGATATAAAATGATACAAGAGGAAGAGAATAAGAATTAAATTAAATTAAAAATATGTGAGGAGAATTAAAAAACGAAAAAAACTTATCCATAAAAAAAGATATCTAAAGATAAGAAAGCTTAAGAGAAAGAAAGTTAAGATTGTAGTAAGGATATAAAAAAAAGTTAAAAAAACTTTAAATAATCATAGAAATTCAAATCATTTTTGCAAGATTAATAATAAATAATTTAGTATCCATAATTAAATGATTAGTTTAATATCTAGATTACTCACGAAAACAAAAATAACGAAATTTTACTTGAAAAAAATGATAAATCATAATTATAGTTAAATGATAAAGTTTAAGAGGAAGAAATTCTATTCAAAATGACATCATCTTCAAATTTATAAAAGACCTAAAGCTTTAATAATTAAACATCTTCTTTGGAAACTTCACAACATATTCTTTGTGCCATCCTATCACTATTGTA